GTATATACTGCTTCATAATCTTTTACAACCCTTTCAAGCAGTTTCTATGCGTCTTCATCCAAATGACTAGACTCCAACCATCAGCCTAATTTTCATTTATATGAGAACCAGTGTGATGTAGTTAAGGTACTGGTTTAGGAGTAGGGGGAAGCAGATTCTAGTTCTCCTTTGACATACAAATCAGTTGGATGACCCTGGACCTACTCTTAGTCCTAATCAGCATCTGGCTCTGGGATTTGTCAGTTGAGTAAAAATGACCCTTTGCATCATGCTTCAATAGCTGTAGAACTAGTGGTAAGTGCAGTAGAAGAACACATGGATCCTGCAACCAAGCAGGACAAATGCAGAAGTAATAAAAATAAAATATAAAATGAAATAATGAAATGAAATCAACACAAAACAACCCTAATTCTCACATGTTGGCTTCAATGTACACATTAGTCCTTTAGCTTAAAATTGTGCCTTTAGGCTGATTAATTCTCCTTCAAAAAGAAAATGTGAATTTGGAAAATTCTGGCACTGTTTTCCTAATAAGTGTGACTGTACTAATACACAGCAAATGTATTTCAACGTTGTGCTAATTTGTGATTGCTTTACTTTAAAAAAAAGTTATAATTTAGAGAGGTAGCTGAGAACTTTCCATAAATTCTAACTTAGAAATATAGTTCTTTGGAGAGAACAAATAACTGTTGAATCAATGTAATGCAAACCATGGCTTAGCTTAATATATGTACCCATTCACTATGGTTTGTAAATTATGGTTTCTTTGAAGGAGGCTGCACATTATGCTAAACCATGTTGTGGATTTGTCTGGCATAATAACTAGCTTTGGTGATTACAGTTTTGCTTTTTATAACTATTCTATGCATCATCCATTTCCTGTATCTGTATTGGTTTAGTTTGCTTTGTTCTGTGATAAACCGAACATGAGATACATAGCTGAAAATGGGATCCAAATGAAGCTGTGAAATATAACTTTGTTTAGAAAACTACACACTAAATGCTGAAGAGTTCAAAACTTAAGTTCCACGTTTTCCATAAGAAAAGATTAGCTACATAAAGAAAATTGCAGTCTCCAGAGAGATGTTCATTCTTACTCACTCCAGAAAATCTCAATCCGCGGAATATTGGCTAATGCTTCTCCTTCAAGTTACTTACGTTAAACAATTATTTGTGCTTTTGTTTCTTCACTTTAAAATTGCATATTTTCAGCTTTATTTGAATTTCAGACAGTTTTGACTATTGACTGCATATGGTGGTTTCCTCCAGTAATTTCACTTATAGATTTTGCAAGTCTGTAAATGAAATACTGTGGGCGTATCCCACTTTTTCAGTTAGCTTCTTTCCATTTTTTTCACGTAAAGTATTTGTGCCTATCTCATGCATGCATGGAAACATGCTTGGCAAACACAGGCATATCGTATAATCCTGCGCTGGATTTATACTAGTTATTTCTGTTATATTTATTGAGGTTTTTCTGGCATTTGTTTGGCATTCTCCTACAGATATTGCACAATGCTTATACTCAAAATTAGTATTTGTGGAATTTGAACTTCTGAAATGCTGACTGTTCATGTTCTGATATTTGCCATATATACAAAGCAATCCGCTGAACGAAGTATTTGTAAACCCATGTCAGAGGAAGTGTTTGTAAGCCATATCTTGAGGATTGGAATACTCATCTCCCTTGGTTCTCAGTATCCTCAGAGTTAGGTGCATTTTACCGACTGTTCAATTACCTTACATTCCTTTCTGTTTAATTACCTATGATTTCTTACCCTTGGGGATGAGCCTGTTAGAGTTACTGAACAATTTGGTTCTGTCAGTAAGAAGTAACTTTATGGAATAATATGAAGCTATGGAGGGATGTTAGTCTGAGGGCCATTTTTTTTCAATTTTTGCTCTTTCAAAGAAAAGTAGAGTCATTATTGTCACTTTAAATGTACATTAATCAGCATTAAAATAAAATTTTATTGCATTCAGCTCTCAAAAGTTAACCATTATGCATATATCCACATACATACATATATATGATACAAACATCACATCTAGTTCGGATGTTTACATATACAAAGAATCCTACAAGTTGACAAGACAGATGGCATAAGGAACAAAGCTATTCCAGAATCTAGTAGTCTTGCTATGGATACTTTAAAACCTCCCAGAGGCAGGCAACAGAAACAAACTATGAAATGGGTGTGTGGGGTCCATAACAATGTTTTGAGCTCTAAGCACATAGCACTTAGAAGCAGTATCCTGAATAACAGGAAATGAGCTTCCTATAATCTTCTTGGCTTTCCTTACCACTCTCTGTATGGACTTTCTATCTGAGGCACTGCTACCACCAAACCAAACAGCGATGCAGTTTCTTAAAATGCTCTCAATCGTGCCTCCATAAAAAGTGGCTACAACAGAAGGAGAAATATCTGCTCTCCTCATCCAATGCAGGAAATGCAAATTAGTTTTGATTCCTGGGCAAGATCCTGCAGTTTTCTTAGTAATGTTTTCAGAACTGATTTGCTGTATTTTTCTTCTTCCTAAGGCTGAGTGAGAATACCTGGCCCAAAGTCACCTAGCTGGCTTCATGTCTAAGGCGGGACCAGAACTCGGGATCTCCTGGTGTCTGACCTAGAAATTTCTTTCTTATTTATTTTACTTCTTTAGGGTTTTTAAATGTTTTTATAGTTAATATTGATAAAAGGTAGGAGGTAAAGGAGTCCCTGAGGATTTTACTTTGCTTGTTCTTGCTGACTATAGGGGAAGTGCTCATCTCTGTTTCAAGGCCATTGATCCAGCGCTGTCCAAATTTCCACAGTCAGGTGGCCAGCATGATGTTGCCTTCTCACCAAAGTGGTACTTATTTATCTATTTGCATTTGAATGCTTTCGAATTGCTGGAACTGGGGTGAGGACAGGAGCTCATGCTGTCATGTGGCGCTGGGTTTTGAACCTGGGCTGCTGGCTATCCAACTGACAAGCCCAGCATCTTAACTGATGAGAAACCATGGGCGTTTATTAATTCTGATTATTATTAATATGTTAATACTGATTAGTTTTATATATTTTATTCACTTTTAGCCTTTTTTTGAAAAGTTTTTTTTAATTTTAATTGAACAAAAATAAAAAAGAATCATCTTTCATTACAGAATTTAACAGAATAACAGAATTGGATAGGACCTTGGAAGTCTTATCATCCACCTCTCTGTTCAGGCAGGAACCCCTATACCTATATTTTGTTTCAGATAAAATGTTGTCCATTCTCTTCTTAAAGACCTTCCAGTGTTGGAGGTTTGAGAGCAGATCTGTCAGGCAAATGTTGAGTTATCCTTTCTTTGCATACTTTGAACTGTTTCAGGGGTTTTGGTACTGGGGAAATTCTTATTATATTTACTCAGCTGCTGTTTTAAAGGATTTTTTTAAATGCGGCCCTTGAAACTTTAGTGAAAATGTTTGATCAGTACTGCTTTTAGGTGACACACAGTGAAAAGTGAATTAGGGGGAGGAGGAAGGGAATGAGCTTCACCATTATATTGATAGACATTAAAAAGCCTTTAATTTGCTCAACTTTTAACTGCCTTCTGATTTGGAGTCAGAGAAACCCACCTCCACTCATAAAATAAAGTGTTTCCTTAAAGACAATAGAACAGCTGGAATCTAATCAATGTTTAAAAGGCTTGGGAATTTAGCAGCTCTGCCTGGCTGGGAAGACCTTTCCTAATGAAGGAGATCACAGACAAATATTTTCCAAGTTCCTCTGACCATAAAAGTATCACACCTGGGTTTCCTATTTCCTTGTGGCCATAAAACTCATATCACGTTCTTGTGACCTCGTGTCTTACACAGAGGGCTCAAAATGATATAAAATCTTACTGGAGTGCCAGTCTGTGGTCAACTGTCCCAGAAGCAAAATCTGTATTGTAGTGGTGGGATTCAAATTTTTTTACTAGGGGTTCTGTGGATGTGGCTTGGTGGGCGTGGCAGGGGAAGGATACTACAAAAGGATACTGTGTAAAATATCCATTTCCTCTCCACTCCATGGGAAGGATACGGCCAAAATCCCCATTTCCTCCCCACTCCATGGAAAGGTTACTGCAAAATCCCCTTTCCCTCCCGATCAGCTGGGACTTGGAAGGCAGAGAATAGATGGGGGCAGGGCCAGTCAGAGGTGGTATTTACCAATTCTCCAAACTACTCAAAATTTCCACTACTGGTTCTCCAGAACTGGTCAGAACCTGCTGAATAAAAAAGTGAACATCTTCCCAAGCAGCTGCCTTTTGAATTGTTTTCTTGGTCTTGCTCAGAGAAAGGAACCCAGGGACGTTTTCACAGCAATATATAAAGTTCTAGCAGCCCATTCTGGATGAGAAGAGAGGAAAGTCCTTGCAATCACTTTTATGGCCCATAATCTTGAGAGCAAGGAAAGGCAACTTCTTGGAGAGGTCTTTCTCCCCCTGGATCAAATAAATTTAAGAGGTACATTGAAAGCCAGACAAGCTTTTCCAGAGTAGCATTCTGCAGGTAGGGTGGCACTGTTTAAAATCATATTCTTGAAGATATTTATAGATCATTTTTAAATGGAACGTTTGGAAGAGAGCCTAGAAGGCAAGGTGGGTAGATATGGGAAGAGACCTTCACTTAATCTTCACTTCTTCCTCTCCTTTGAGGGATTGAAAGAAAAGTTGGGTTCTTTTAAGTCACTTTCTACTTGGGCCATTGGGATATTCTCAGGGTACAGTCAAAACAGTCAAGAGGGCAGCCACAATAGTGTAATTGGATATCCACTCATTTTTAATCTACATCCTATGTATGCTTTATGTGAATCCTCACCTTCCAAGTAAATACTGTAGCATGCTTTCATATAAAGCCAATTATAGGAGCTGAAGGTAGATTTGGAGAAGTTTGATTCACCACCATAACCTAGCAGGTTTTATTACCTTCTAAAATTTGTGAGTATCAGTATTTTCACAACAACACTTTTTGTTTGTAATTTATCTTTTCCAGATAGATGATATACGGCTTCTGCAAATCAAAGATAATCCTGTTGCCTTGTTTCAGCAGCCACAATGAATCAGGTTGGATTCAAAATTACTATCACATGAGTTTGTCTTTTGAATTTTGCTTTCTTCTCAATGTCCAAGGTGTTAGTCATACTACCAGGGGAACATCCCTTCCCAGTAGGAGCCAGCAAATTAGCAAAGACTGAGTACATTCAGTAGCTATGAAACGAAGAATTAAATACTAGCTGAAGAGATAGTGGGGGGGAGGGAGCAGCTATTAATGTTCAAATTCAACATTATCACAGATAGATTCCTAGTTATTAATAATAACTAATGAATGTTTTGTGTCTCTCCCAACAGGGTGGCTATAATGATAGTATAGAAGTTGCCGGTATTGTTCTCTACTATTTCCTGGAAAACTCCTCCAATGTTAGTTTTGCTTCCAGCCTTTGTAGCTTGAAAACACAGTTGTTAGCACCAAAGTGTTATAGTGTATATGATGATGGGGAGCTTCAGACAGATGGCAATAATTTTGGACGAGTAGAAGACAGAGCACTGGGTGAACAAGCACCGGGTGAGCAAAGTTCTTTGTCTCCTACTGTTTGAATAACGAAGGATCTGTTATTAACACTTGGTTAGCAACTTCGTTAGACTCAAATCCTCTTTCAAATGACGAAATTCTGCCAAAATGATCAAAACTTCATGAAATTTCAAACTACACCCAAATGTTGAACTCTTAAAGTGGGTAGCGGGTAGCATATTTTTAACCATATTTCTATAGAGCAGCCAGTGTTTTGAAGGTAAGTTGACCAACTTCTGCCTGTAGATTCTGCCTAGGTTGCCATTTGTTAAGAGCTGAAATAAGCAAGTTTCTAGGAGAAGTAGCCCTGTGCACATCCATCCATGGTCACAGAAGTTTTTTTGCATCGATGTTAATTTATTGACTGTTGAGCTGGAACACTGGTTCAATGGTACAGTGGCCTTCTACACCTTAAAATGGGTAGTCCTCAGCATGCAACCATTCATTTAGTGACCATTTGAAGTTACAATGGCACTGAATTACAATCAGTCTTCATGCTTACAAACATCAGCATCTCCACAGTTATGTGGTTAAAGCATGTATTTACAATGGTTGCAACATCCAAGGGTCATGCGATCACCATTTGGGACCTTCCCAGCTGGCTTCTGAGAAGCAAAGTCAATGGGGGGAAGCCTGATTCACCGAATGACCACATGATTTACTTTAAAACAACTGTAGTGATTTGCGTAACAATTGTGCCCCAAAAGGTAATACAATTGGGCACAACTCAACCAAGAGAAATTCTGGTCCCCAATTATGATCGTAAGTCGAGGATTACCTGTGTATTTCTGCAGATGTCTTGAATTCCCACCTAATTTGTTCTTTCCAAAATATGTGACTTCCAAATGTGATGAACTTAATTCCCTCCTGTGGGTGGGAATTAAGAGTTCACCACAAGTAGAGGACACAATTTTTTTCCAAGGGATGGCACTATAATTGCTTTGTCTCCCTCCAAAATGAATTTAAAAGTTATCTAATTAATCTAAAAGGGATGCGCTGGCTCAGTGGCTAAGACGCTGAACATGTTGATCAGAAAGGTCAGCAGTTTGGTGGTTTGAATCCTTAGCACTGTGTAACAGAGTGAGCTCCTATTATTTGTCCAGCTTCTGCCAACCTCGCAGTTCAAAAGCACGTAAAAAATGCAAGTAGAAAAATAGGAATCACTTTGGTGGGAAGGTGACAGCATTCCATAAGCCTTTGGCATTTAGTCATGCCGGCCACATGACCATGGAGACATCTTGTATAGTGTTGGCCCTTCAGCTTTGAAATGGAGATGAGCACCACCCCCTAGAGTCGTGAACGACTAGCAAATAAGTGCAAGGGGAAGCTTTACCTTTAATTAATCTAAGCATTCTCATTAGGTTGTCCATCACTGCAATTTAATTCACTTGCTAATGTTGGATGGTCTTTAGCTAATGCAAAGCATCAGTGCACTTCCAGCCCAATGCCTGGTTTAAAGCTGGGATGGGCTATAAAACATCTGTGTGTATTCTGACATAGAAATCATATGCAGTATACAGTCTTGTCCTATATCCAGTGTTATAACGTTAGCATGATCTATAGGTTGCACAATGTCCTTTAATACTTGAAAGCCAATTTGTTCTTTGTCTTTTTCATCCATGGATTTTAATTCAGTGGTCGATGAGGCAATTTTCCGAAAAATAGGAGTGCAGTTGGCTGTAATCGGTGATAAACTGGCTGCTGAGATTGAGCACCCATTTGTGGACAACCTGGCAGAACACTTCAGGATGGAAAATGTGCCCAGTCAGGTGAGAAAGAGAAGAAACTTAAGAGGTTAATAAGATAGCACTGGAGGACTTTAATGAGAAAATAAATCCCGTGTCTGTGAGGGTTGTTTTCTTTTTGTCAGTCATGACTTCTTTTTCCAGTTACCACATATGTACCTAGTAAATGGCATTAGGTGATTGGAACTCGCTCAGTGTTGTGATCAACTTAATTGAAAAATGGATTTGGAGGGCAGTTGTGTTGCTGAACACAGCTAAAATAGAAGTTGAATTTGGATGATCTTTGAAATACAGTATCTCCTTAGCTGATAAAAGACACAAAAGGCCACTGAAGGCAAGAGGATACATCCCTCCATTCATGATGGAATGGTATAATTACTGTATTTTTCAGAGTATAAGATGCTCTGAAGTATAAGACGCACCTAGCTTTTGGGGAGGAAAATGGGGGGGGGAGCTGCCTCTGCCTCCCAGCAATTTGCCTCCTTGCCCCAAACAGCAAACAGTACAGATAATATAAGAGCCAAGGTGGCGCAGTGGTTAAATGCAGCACTGCAGGCTACTGCTAGATCAGCAGTTCAGCGGTTCAAATCTCACTGGCTCAGGGTTGACTCAGCCTTCCATCCTTCCGAGGTGGGTAAAATGAGGACCCAGATTGTTGGGGGCAATATGCTGACTCTCTGTAAACCGCTTAGAGAGGGCTGAAAGCCCTATGAAGCGGTATATAAGTCTACTGCTATTGCTAAGTCTACTGCTATAATATACACTGTTTGTGGTGTTACATTTCAGACTATACTTGTACAGATGCTGTTAAAATTGATGTGACTTTCTGGAAGTATACAATACCACTGGGCCTCTTCAGATCATTTATTTTAAAAAGCATCTTCGTTTTGTCAAGTTGTCTAAAACAATAATAAAGCAGTCTTTAAAAAATAAGTCTATAATTCGAACATTCTATAGGCATTTATAGCTATTGACTTACCTCCTTGCAGCAAACAGTAAGCAGCCTGTTTCAGTTTAGCTTGATTAGAAGAAAAATCTGCCTCTGCCTCCCAGCAATTTGCACCTTGCAGCAAACGGCCAGTTTCACTTTCAATTTCAGTTTAAGCATGGGCCTCTCAATGATCAGCTGTTTCAGGCTGCAGGGATTGCCATAGCATATTGCCGCCTCCGCAAGCCCCATTTTCTCTGTTTGCTGCGAGGAGGTAAATTGCTTGGAGGCAGAGGCTAAAGGGTGGCTGCCACACCCAAATTTTCACCCTCTTTTAGAGAGAAAAAAAGATGCATTTTAATACTCCGAAAAATACTGTAACTGCAATTAGTAACTGAACGTTGTTACACTTTGTACATAATTGAAGCCATAAGGCTTCTCCAATAGTTAACAGTGACCATTAATTTACATTTTATTTGTAATGTTTTTTAGTTGTGGTTTTTATCACAGTCAGGAGAAGAATCTTAGCATCTGACTGGATTAGAGTTCAAGGGGCTGGAAGAGCAGCATTTTAGGGAGTTGTTTGTTCTTCTTCTGTAGGTGATCACCAAGCACCTGTCTGACGCAGTGAAAAAGGTCGTGGCAAGAATGCCTCCGGAAATAGAAAAGGAAAAAGCCATGTTAGTGGCCGCAATGGTTTTGGCCAAGAAAGTAGCCAATGTAGTCCCTGCGTCGCTGCAGCAGGTGTTCAACACAACAGTGAATTATATCAACCAGAACCTCCACAATTATGTGAACCATTTGGCACCTGAGGTGATTATTGATAAAATCACAGCATTGCATTTGTGTTATATTTTATCTCCAAATCAGAGGAAAGAGTTGGCTGATTGAGGAATTCTGAGAGTATAAGGCCACATGTCTTAAAAGCTGCCAAGTTTGAGAAATGTTGATTTAAATACATTTATAAGAGTGATTCTTATGCCTCTTTCAAGGAAGTTTAAAGTCTTATAACCTAATGCTGAAAAGCTGGTGTGGGAAATTTCCCCATTAGCCCTAAGGATTAGCTCCTGCTCGGCCCTCCTACCCAGAAAGCCAAAAAACAGGAAAACTGTTCCTTAGCTCCAACGTGTTGGGAAAGCCTGGAAACAGTGGCAGCCTGGGAGTTTTGGCTCAATCCACTTCTACATGTAGTTCTCAACTTATGATCACAATGGAGCCCCAAACTTCCATTTTTAAGCAAGACAGCAATTAAGTGAATTTTGTGACCCCTTTGCATAGTTAATTGAATCGCTGCAGTTAAATTAGTAATACAGTTAAGTGAACCTGGCTTTCCCATTCACTTTGCTGGTCAAAAGGTCACAAAAAGATCCATGACCCCAGGTCACTGCAACCATCATAAATGTATGCCACTTACCATTTTGATCATGTGGATGTTGCAATGGCCATAAATCACTTTTTTCAATGCTGTTATAACTTTGATCACTAAACAAATAATTGTAAGTCAAGGACTACCTGTATTAGGCGAACTCCGTGAGAGCTCTTTGAGGCCAAGAAGCGGTTCCAATCCCTGTTAAAAGCAGATCCAATTGTGTATTGTATTTTTAAAAGGCTAATTCTGTAGCTGGAAGTGATATCCTTAAATGATACAAAACATGTCCTGAATTTGTTGAGAATTAACATTTTATGCAAAACCTATTCAATACACTCTCAATTAGATCAGGGAGTGACAGACAAAGGTCACAGATTAGACATGGTTTATTCAGGTAATTCAACTCAATGAATTATACACTATGCAAACTAGGCTTGCACTGTGTCCTGGACTAAAATGAGGTTGTCTATGTCTATTGTGTGATATCTAAGCACAATATAATATATTGGATCTTACAGGGGACAGCATGCGCAATCTTGTCTTGATACATTCTTGGTTAGCTACAGTTTAGAAAATATCTGAAGAACCATTTTCTTAATGTAATTTAACAGTTGCAGTGGATGCCTCTAATTATCTTTCTCTCTTTCCTAGAACTGAACAAAAGGGATGCACATCTGAATGCAAGAACCAATTTGTTTTTTTAAAAAGTTTTTAAAGATTAAGAAAAATCGTGTCATTTTGGTATTTTAATTTTTTGAATTTTTTATCAACAGTCATGTATTTTCTACATAGTTGATTTGAGATATGAATTGGCAGGCCTCCTTTTATACTTGAAATCTTGGGCCATTTTTTATGTCTCTTATAGAAGCAAAGTGGTTTTTTTTTAATTCTCAGGATTGTGGTGTTGATGGCATCTCTCCTTGAAAACAGGAATAGAAGCTAATGACCACCTTAAAATACCATTAGACAGTCTGTTCTTCCACTTGTTATATAAGTGAATAGTTGATGGAATATGCTTGATTCATAGTTGTGAATTTTTTTTAAAGAAATGCATGCTATTCTGATCCATTTATCTGCCATTTAAAAATTGCCATAATATAAAGTCTTAAAAACTTAAAATGTGTATTGTTTTTCATATTTAATAGCATTATGCACAAACCAAAAAACATTTGTGTTCTCAACTGAGGCTGATTATCTTTACTACAGATTTTGTAGACATATTAGGAAAGGAAATTGCCTATTTACAAATGACACCAATACAGTAAAGGTCAATTATAATATTTATAATTCTTTCTGCTTTGTACATTGCTGGAATACAGATTTTAATTGGGGGGGGGGATAAGTGATAGCCATTGTACAATTTTTAAAGATTTAATGAAGGTCTCTATAATAAAGTTAGGAATGAAGCTGGAAGTCAAATTGTTTACACATCATTACATTTTATTGACTTGAAAAGTTTTTGACACTCATTTAGACTGATAGATGTTTGAAAAGTAATCTGAAAAATTCTAGCTTGTACTGGCAAGAACAATGGCATCTCACTGTTTATTGGTTGAGACATTGGGTCATTTGAATGAACATAATTCTAAATATTTAAATAGATGTGGCTCTCTTTTTTGTGTGCTTTGATTTTTCAACTGTGCAGGCTTTCTGATCCAAGTATGGATTATGTCTGAGGAAAAACCAATTTATGGAAGGCTACTACATTATACAGCAGTTCTTTTTTTTACAGCTAATAAAATTTTAAAATAGTATGTTTTGCTCCAGCTAATAAAAACCCACACACTTTTTCTTCAAAATTTAACTTTAATAAAATACAAATAAGGGCGTAGTTTTACTTGAGATTATTGGTCAAGCAAAAATACACATAATCTTTTATAAAGAACTAGGAACACTTGTTTTTAACACTGGAGGCAGTATTTTTCAATTCATACAGTAAAAGTCTGTAACAGTAAGATGGTGATTATGTCTGCCCTCCTCACCGTGTTTCTTAAAATAGCTCCAGGGAAGTAATTATGGTCATACAGCTTAAGGAAATACTACTCTGCCTTAACACGTCCAATGCTAGGAAAAAAGCTTGTGCATCCTCATGAAACTTAGCCCAAAGTAAAAATAGTACTGTAGCTCAAGAAGAAATAATCAAATGGCTTAATTTTTTAACTAGCATGGGTTATTTTAGGGCTCTATGAATTCCTGGGAAGGTTTTCAAGTCATCAATACAGGCAAATCTCTTTTCCTGGGTCAATGTACAAATAAGGTCAGACAGGCAGCTTTCCAGCCAGATTAAAAGTCACAATGTAGAAATGCTTCACATATGCACCAGCAGGTTCTGAAGCCTCTATTTGTTAAAATAATTGCTCAGCTCCAGCTTATTGTGCAAAATACTAAGCAAGCGTGACACTTATTTTGCTTTCAAGAACTCTTGCAGGACATCCACCGCAAGTAGTTCAGGAACCAAAAGTATATCCACGTGAAGGAAATGAGTATTTCAGTAGGCAGCAAAAAATTTTGCTGCTTCCATTTGCCAATGGAAGCAGCAGGAAAGAGAAAGTGTAGTTTGCAGCATTTAATCCAACAACATTGTAGAACTTCTATTGCAGAAGTACAAACTATTTTGAAGTGACAGTTACATAACACCTACTATTGAAATCCTACTGGTATACCTTTACTTTGTCTTCATTTCACTAGCACTGGAAAGGATATGGTAATGTTTTTACAGAATTAATGACTGCAGTTCCCAAAAAAACCAAATACAAGTTTTCACATCTTAACCCGTGATTGCATGATGGCGAACCCGTGATGGCGAACTTAAGGCACACGTGCCACAGGTGACACTCAGAGCGCACCAGCCAGCTACTCTCTTCCAGGTTCCTGTGCGCGCATACTCTAATTTCAGTACTCTGTGCCGAAAAGATTAGCCATCACTGGTCTAGTCCATTATGAAGCACCAATAGTCAAGAGAATTTGCCGCTTAAATTCAGAAATTAGGTAATCTATAATCAAATTGTATTATATCAGTATTTGAAAGGGTTCATAATTCCCCCTAATTCTAATCCTTAGCACGCTAGCATTTTACTGGCTATGAAAAGTGCATCATCTCACTGTTTATTGGTTGAGATATTGGATCATTTGAATGAGCATAGCTATAACTCTAAGTAATCATCCTGGAAATGAAAGAGAAGGTATCTCGGGCGTTCAGTCTGTTACCTTCTGTTCAAATAGACACGGCTGAAATCAGACAAAATGCATTGATATTTAAACTTACACAGATTACAGGTAGTCCTCGACTAATAAGAGTTCAAAATCTGTTACTGAGACATTTGTTAAGTGAGTTTCGCCCTATTTTACAATTGTTCTTACCACAGTTCTTAAGTGAATCATTGCAGTTAAGTGAATCTGGCTTCCGCGTTGACTTTGCTTTGTCAGGTCACAAAAGGTCATCACATGATCCCAGGACACTGCAACCCTCATAAATATGAGCCACTCTCCAAGTGTCTGAATTTTGATCATGTGACCATGGGGATGCTGCAACAGTCACAATGTGAAAAATCATACGTCACTTTTTTCTAGTACTGTTGTGACTTCAAACAGTCACTAAATGAATTGTTGTATGTCGAGGATTATCTGTATTTTCCTCCGTAATTTACTGTAGAAATCAATGTAAGTTTATTTCAGAGGATGAAGATAGAGGATAAACTGCAGCTGAAAACTATAGCAACCTTTCAGTGACAATGCTTGTATCAGAACACAATTATTCAATATGTTCAATATCAGTCCCCCCCCCCCCCCCATTTTTAAAAAAGTAATTTGTGATTACAGCTAGATTTTTGATTTTGGGGCAAAAAACAAAGGGAAAAAAGAGTTAAGCCCCACTGGAACATATTGAGGCACTTCATTCTGAAATATTCACAATAAGGAGTACTATGGAAAAGTGCAAGTATATTTAAACAAGATTTCATTGTAAATCCCTATATATTACACCAAGTGTTCTATAGTATATGAACACAAATGTTTATAGGTGTAGCCTCTCATACATGCATACTGACTAGAGATGGGGTATAACAAACACTTACCAACTCTATCAAATTTGATTTTTTTTAAATAGTAGGTTTAGTGGGAAAGAAAAGAGGAAATTGTAGCTCATCCCCAAAATGTGGCTGCTGCCATGTTACTGTTCAAGTAAAAACCCGTGATACTGTGTTACTGATGACAATGTCACCACCAGAGCTTTCCAACACAGAAAATAACAATTTGACATAAATGATTGATTTTATTTTTTTTCCTGGGCCCAATTATAGCTGATGGAATAAAAAGAAATCGTCTACACATAGAAAGGTGTTACCTGAAAAGTTACATGAGCAATACAAGACATGGTTTCAAATCATTATTTTTTTTTCCTCCAGTGGCCAGGAAACTGGAAATTGGAAACAAATACCGTTTCATGTCTATGGACATTCTCAATCATCCAGGTCATGACTGCCCCAAAGGTGGTTTTTCCAAAAGGCAGCTGGATTTTCTTGGGGTTTTTTTTCCCTTGAAAATCTTTTGTTCTGATCCAAGAACTGAAGAAGCTTGGCTAAGAAGCAAAATGTTATCAAAAGGGGGAAAACCAGAAAGTCCAGTTGCTTTTTGGAAAAAAAGCACCCTTGAGACAAATGCTATTTCAGTTAACTGCGGAGTCATTTCCTTGAAGATTTTGAATTCATTATAACGATAAGGGTAAGCTAAGGGGTCCAATCTTGCAACTGAATTAACAAATCAGATTTTAATCTATAAATAATCAGATTTTAATGTATTCAATACTGGAATTTCATAGGGCCATACTGCTTCAGGTTTAGATACAAAAAGTGTTTGGGAACTTGCAGAAGTGTACCACAGCACCTGTTTTCAACTTTCTAAAGCAACTTATCTTTTTCTGAGAAACAGCAAATATACAAGGAAATCATTCATATTGCTTTAAAGAGTTGCAGACAAGTCTTCTATTTATATCTCCCGCATTTTGAAACACAATTTTGAATTAAATCTGTAGAAGCAGTACTCAATGTACGACTATAACGGAGCCCAAAATTTATGTTGCTAAGCAAAACAGTTGAGTTTTGCTCCATTTTATGACCTTTCTTGCCACGATTGCTAAGTGAATGACTGCAGTTAGGTTAGTAAATTGTGAGTAAGTGAATCTTGATTCCATTGACTTTGCTTGTCAGAAGGTTGCAAAAGGTGATCACATGACCCCATGACATTGCAACCGTCATAATACATCCTTGCTGCCAAGCACCCAAATTTTGATCACATGATCCTGGGGATACTGTAATGGTCATAAGTGTGAAAAAATGGTCATAAGTCACTTTTCCCAGTACCATTGTAACTTTGAACGGTCACTAAACAAATGGTTGTCAGGCTGAGGACTACCTATACAACTCTTGACCTTGTACTTTTTTGCTTATTACATGGAAATATTTTCTTCTTTTGCATTCATCAAAATAGTGGTAGATGCTTACATGAAAGGAGTGCATCTTTGATAACTAAACTGACATGATAAAGCTGGATGAATGAGGGGATAGGGACAGAAACACAACAACAGCAGATCACAAAAATGCCTAATGTACAATGATGAAAAAAACACCCATTACCTTTCTCCAAAATGCATTATACTTTCATCCTTACATGGAAGGCTTTCATTTCCTAGCTTTAGGGGTTTAATCGTAAAATTTGGGAGCAATGCAGTACCTGAGGAAGCCGAGACAAAAGGGTATGAAGTAGCCTCATGCTACATGATTAGAGAACCTCTCATTGAAGAGGTGGAGGTGAACAAAGAAGCTGCAATGGCAGCTACATAAAGAAATTCTCCAGGGTTAACAATTAACTTTTCCATTGCCCTGGGATTTCATGATCCGATTTCCAGTGTATAAGCAACCTCCCCACCCCATTTTTTTCAGATATATTGAGATACTTAGATGTGCAAGGGTGTTCCAATATTACCCCTATAATTAAAGAGGAAGATCCAGTCCCAGGCCACTAAAAACATGATTGTCCTAGAATTAGCAGTAAACTCATGTCCCACCTTCCTGTCACGTTACACAGATTTCTCATTAACAGGAGGCATAGCAAATCTTAAGTCA